CCCCCCCCCCCGCCCCGGTTTTGTGCAATCGATCCGCCGCATGCGGCTGCCGCGGACCATTTGCTTCATTACAACAATTTTAGCGTTCTTTGTACAGCTCAGTCGCTATGCGATCATTACTTATGGCATGATTCTACTGTTATTTCTTTTGTTCCTTATTTCTTACTTGCTGCTGCGTTCTGCTACATTCCTTCGCGCGCGGCGTCTTTCTCGCCGCGACGCGACACTTTCGTTCCTTCTTCGTCACACCCATAAAACACCACCGTTTACAATCATATTTTTTTAAGAAATGCAAGGTACATGGAATTTTCGCGAAGTCGAAAAGACTTCTCATCTGGGTCATTACAAACTCATCTTTCTTTGGCCCCGATTTCGGCAATAAATCACCGGCTCAACTTCGTGTGTGGAACAACGCGCTGCATGACTAAGCGTTCGAATGAAACAAAGCTCGAACAACGGAGAAAGATGAGCTAAACTCCGGCTATGCCGTAATCTCTTCATATTACGCACCGCATGAAAGCAGAAAACCAATGATTACAACATCATAGCGCTGCATAGCATAACATAAAGGAACACGCAACAGTGCACGTAATGCAAACATCTTGTGATGATCGTGGCGATTTCATGGCGATGTGATGGGTAATCTCAGGTCGGATAACAGTATTCGGGAAAAAGCTCCGCCAACTAATACTAACAGGAAATATTTGAAACCTTTTATTCTGAAAAAAGAAATTCAATTGATGCCAACTAATACTAACAGGAAATATTTGAAACCTTTTATTCTGAAAAAAGAAATTCAATTGATTTTAAACAAAGAGAAAATAAGGTGAAATAAGGTGTGACGGGCACATTTCCAACAAAGTTTCGTTCCCCGGAATTTCGAAGTTTACTAGTGCCAGTTAACGACCACTGGGTTTCCCGACGGTATGCATATAACTCCTTTATGATGTCATTCGTTCCGCCGCTTGCCACTTGCCTAGACATAAATCAAGGTTTTTCAAAGCTAATCCAGCCCGGCTACCTTCGAGCGTATTCAAGCGAGAGCGAATACAAGCATTGTTACCAACACTCTCATGTACCACTCTCGTTCTATAGGTATAGTTAGCGTCTGTTCAGTGTGAAGAGATCTTCATGGTATCTGAATACTGGGACCTTATAAAGGACGGAGCCAGTGAAGTCACCTCATGCGGACTTTGCTTGGTCCTTTTTGAATTAGATTCCAAGGGTCCCCTCAAAATACATTACTCCACTATATCGCAAAACGGTGGTTGCCCGTTGGAACGGAACCGTGGAGAATGACCAGAAGGAAAACTTATGAATCATCGTTCAAAAGAAACGCTGTCCTTATTCAATCACAGCCAACAGGCTCTTCTATCCTTCATTTGCTTTTCCATTCCTTCTTCCCTTTACCATAACACATTACTAAGCTGTGGGCAAACAGTGATGTCCTGAATTTTGCTGATTCACCAGAAAAAAAAACTCTGAGAGGAATAAAAGCTTCTCTGAATGTTAGTACGCCCCAGAAGGGCCGCATAAGCTCAGTAAGCATTTCCTTGGGGAGAAAATTCGATTTTCTCGAAGCCATACGTTTTCTGCATCGAGACATATACTCATAGAAAGAAATAAATCGATAGGAACACATTACTAGAAATCCGATAGGCTGAAAGGAAAATAAAAAGGAAGATTAGAGTTTAATGACCCACATCGTCGGAACGGTGCACACATTTGGGCCGGTGGGCTCTTGCCGAGCTGGAGATGCTGCCATTGAAATGGTTGCCAAAGCAGAAATCGTCAGAAAGTCGACGATCCACCGAGGTTTCATGATGCACACGTTTCATGATGCACACGTGAAACTGAGTTAGTGAGAAGGAACAACCAGTGAAGTCGGCAACCCTGGCGACAGCCGGTGGTGATTTTCTAAAAGAAAGAGGAAACAGTAATCAGCATGATCACTTCAAAGGTCGTTCAGTCGACGTTACATATGGAAATATCAGAAATCGCTACGGGACTGATAACAGGGGTTAAATTGGCATTAAGTTAGAAGTTGTTTACAAAAAAAGCAAGTAAACAAATGATAAAGGAAGAGCACAGAAAAGAGCCGGTAAAAAGGCACTGAAGATACACAAAAGGAAATCCTTTTTCTCT